TTATTTTGTTTTTTAGGTTACAGGATGCCAGCACCTGAAAACACACCCGACGAAATGTACAGACTCATGCTACGATGCTGGGAGTACAAACCAGAGAGCAGGCCAAATTTCGAACAAATCTATAGTGTTGTTGAAACCCTCTGTGCAGCTTATAGGGTTTCGTTTTGTTAGGATATAGAAATGATAGATCCCAATAATGATGTTCTGACCTCTGTTCCAAATTGCTCAGAGACAAAAGTTTGGTACATACAATATTTCCAACGCATGAGATCTAGAGGAATAAAGTTTAGTCTCCTTATTTTGCAAGTGTTTATCACCTCTCAAAGTGAATGTATAAGAATCTGGACCACCGTATATAAGTTGACTGTAGCCAAACTTCGAGATCAAACTTCATGAATTTGAATTGAGACCACGGTACCGTTTTAAATACAATAAATTTGGATCAGAGGTTGGAACATTTTTTTTTCATTTCTCCGTTATATCGGAACATCCTGTACACAATTACTGTTTCTGTGATCAAACCCACGCATTGTGGAAAAATGAATTCGAAGTTTGAAAGAATTTAAAGCAAATTGTAAAATAGCTATGCAGAAATTGATTTCGAAGACTTTTGAGGTTAAGTGCCATAAATATATTGCATATCTCATTTTTTCAAAGATTCTTTCTTACTAGTTTTATAGGATAATGAAATGTGTTTTTGAATGTTCTTTTGAAAACCTTTTATTTGGTGCAATCAGTAGTCTCGTGTTGTAACAAAATTGTTATAAAAAAGCTCAAAAATTCTATTTACAATTTATCTCTTTCGAGATATTTTCCATGTTGATAGATTTAAGATTTTTTTATATTACTTACATTGTTTTAAATAGATCTGAATGAGTGCCGTTGATTTTGGTTACTGTGATGATTGATGTAAAAAATAGTTTTTATTGAAAGAAATATACATTTTTTATGTTGGATAATGTTTCATTAGAGAAAAATGTTGAGAGAGTGTGATTTGGAGTTGAGGACTTACGTTTGTTGAGCTGAGTTTTTATGCATACGAATTTTCAGTCATTTGCATGGACTCTGTCAGAAATTCCACGATAAATTCTGTGAGAAGTTTCAAATCGCGAAAATCAAGGTCACCATCTGACGTTGCGATGACATGAAAACTACGGGAAAACATGTCTAACTTTCAATCTTAGCCAGGAGCTTACTACCGCGAATACAGAAAACTAGAGTTCCTAATGTACTGGATACTGCTGTTTTGACGGACACTGAATTGGTTCTCAGCAAACTCAGATATGGATTTTATTACAACAGTCTGTCAGGTTTGACAAGCAACAGAACTAAAATTAAATTAAGTGCTAATATTTGAGTATTTGAGTATTTATTCAATAGCCATGAACAGACATATGGCTTGCATTTTCAGGTACAAAATGAGCTTTAAAAGCTTGTGTGTGCACCAGTCACATTTATAACACATAATTCACATATGAGTGAATTCGCTAATGAATCGTCTTATATACTATATATACTACTATCTGGACTAATATGTACTAATGTAATATACAATCTGAATATATACAATATATGCAATATATGTCAAACTAATAACTAGATGTTGGGTTTGCTTTTTAAAATCCAAGATGATATTTTATTTTTGATTTTTTTGTACGGTTTGCCTTTGAGTTCGTTTGGCAGTATGTTATATATTTTTGGTCCTATATAAAATATACTTCGTTGAATGGTTACATAAGATGTAGTAGGTACAATTACATTTTCATTTGTTACTGATTGTTATAACATGATTAACTTTCTGTACATTCATTTTTGATAGATACCTCACAACAGATTTTAAGTATAATTGAGAAATGTCAAGAACACCTGCATCTTCAAAGAGTTTGTCAGTAGGAAATGTTTTATTTCTGAACATTATTTTATAGAATGTATTTTTGTGCTACATTTAAAGGAGTCATGGCATTAGCATAAGCTGAACCCCAGGCTGAGATTCCATATGATATATATATCATAAACATATTCGCATATTCAGATCTACGCTATGTAATATTCATGATTTTATACAATAATAGTACATACCTAAAACCAGGCGACTGTTGGTACCGAATATAATTCAATCTCACAGTCGAAAACCCAAATGGCTTTCAGTTCAACTTGTCTTGCTAACAAACTTTATAGTTTCTTAGCAACATGAAAAGTAACTATACCGCATGTATATCAAACCCAATAGATGATACTGAATGGTTTTTTTTTGTCACAACACTATGACAAGCACTGGCAGTCACACAGCCACAAATAAATTGATGAAAAAAGCGGGAACTAACAGTACACGAACGTACATATGACACTGAATTACCAGATAAAATCTACGGTCGTTCTGGTGACAGTGAATCTACCACTTTTTCAGCAATCGAGTTCCGTAAATAACCTTTTTTCAGGAACCAACCAAACATTTCATATTTACGGAACGGAAAACTACTTACCAAAATAACCAAGTTGAATTGCGGAACATACCCTTAATAGCTTTTTTTATTTCTTCTGCTTGTAGCCATCTGATTTTCTCTTAAGTAATGCTCTATGTGGACAGAGCTGTCATTGCTTGAAAGTTGGCATTCCATGGGAGATGGCGTTTATTGTGAAATAATAACACAATGAAGTCATTGTGTTATCGAATAAGCCAATAAAATTGAAGACATACATGTACCTCATTGATTTATCAAAAACAGAAAAACAATAGCAATGTTGTGTTATAGCCGCAGGAAATAGTAGATTGTTTTATTAGGATCAAAAGTGACACTTTGTTTGACAAGCGAATTTTGCATCTGCGAGGCGGAGCGTATAGCGAATAGGAGAAAAAGAATCACTATACAGGGTGCCCCGAAATAAGCCTGTCAAACTTCACTAAGCGGATTCTACGGCGAAAAATTGGAAGAAAAGTTTTTATGAACATAAGTTAAGAAATGTCTTCTATGGCAGCTACGGCCTCCTGAAAGAGTACTCCTGAAGATGATATTTCTTGAATTTTGCCGAAACGCCATGTGACGAAATGATGCAATTCGGCACAAGAAGTAAACTTTCCATGACCAGTGAAAATAAAATCATTCCTAGATTTCATTCACGAATGTATAAAACAGGGTTGGCCAACTTTGAATATTGCTCAAACTTTTTATATTCATATTTTTAAACAATTCAATCTCGGATTATGAAAATTCACACCGAAAAAGGTATTCTTGTTTCGATTTCAAAATATTGTTACCATCACATTTTATGCATAACATTACCAGTTTTCTAATCAGTGGCTATAAAAAAATCAACCACTTCATTTCATCAAAAAAGCACATAGAGGCGCGTAAAATAGGAAAATTATGATAAAAATCTACTTCAATCTTCGAGCGTTTGTTTCATATATAGGGTGTTTCGTAAGTACGTGTAGAAAATTCAGGAGCATGATGCTGACGTCTAAATAGGAAGATAAGTTCTTATAAACATATGTCCGAAAGTTATCCGTTTCTGAGATACAGAGTGTCAAAGTTGAATTCTTATTGGAAGAGTTCAAAAAATCAGGTACAAATAAGTAAGAATCATATTCTGCCTACATTCCAATGTTGAATGAAAAAGAATATTGAATAAAAGAAGAAAAATGCACTGGCGTATCTTTTCTGATTTCCACTAGAGGCGACTTACGAGCCACATGGGACTAATTCATCAAATCAATCTATTATTTCGAATCCCAATAACTCGAAAACAGTTGCTCGCAGCGACCTCTACCAAGAATATATTTTTTACACAAAAGTGTTCTAGAAATCTATTTCTTCACTATGAAACGTTATACAGGTTCGCACAAAAAAGTTTTACTTTTTCAAAAGACTCGAAAGACATGTAGGTGGCGCCACCCCCACGAAAGAGACAAACTAACATAAAATTTGATATTGTCATTGAATAATACCACTAGATAACAATATTTTTAAATCGATTCTACTCGAAAATGATACATCTGGTCGATACGGAACAAATGTACCTATTTTCTGTAAAGAGGTGTGGATTGCCATAATTCGAGATTGAATTGTCGAAAAATATGCATATAAAAGAGTTTGAGCGATATTTAATGTAGTCCAACCCTGTATGAATGAAAATTTGAAATTATTTAATTTTCACTGCATTGGGCATGAAAAGTTTAGTTCTTTTACCGCATTGCACCAGTTTATCGCAAGGCGTTTCGGAAATATTCAAGAAATATCATCTTCAGGAGCCCCCTTTCAGGGGGACGTAGCTCCCTTGGCAGACATTTCTCGGCTCATGTTCATTGAAACTTTTATTCCTATTTTTCATCATAAAAGATGCTGGTGAAGTTTGACAGGCTAATTTCGGGGCACCCTGTATACACATTGACTTACATACTCTAGAAGAGGAGCAATAAGGAAAACATGATTCAAAATACCTCTAAAAATCAGTTACCCCACCGCAGAACAGAAAAGTTACTAAAATTGGGAGATCCGATTATTTTTAATGAATGAATGATGACGGTCGTTACTTGATGGAAATCCATGGCAAATGTAAAAACTTCACAAAAGATAGATTTCCACAAAATTCTCACACATGTTTCGCTAACACAGTAGCATCATCAGGTGGAATATTGGTACAATGAACTTTATATTTTCCACAAATGCGAAACTTTACAGAGGTTTTAACGAAGAAATTCTGTTGACGTCTTTGATCGAACTTCTCCATCAATTTCTCACAAGACTTCGTTTTTAACAAATTTGTCGTCACGTCATCTAGCAAATCTTTTGATGAGAATGGCCACAAAAATGATGGATTATCAAAAAACCAATTTCGTGAATCGTTATTGTTTCGTTCTGTCAGTTTTGAAAAGTGTCCATCACAATATAATACATCAAAATGAAAAAAAAAATTGATATGCTACGACTGCGAAGAAATAACACGTGTTCGGCTAGAATAGATTTTAATTTTTTTTATAATCCAAACCTCATGAATACCATTTATAAATATAATTTTATAAGTTCATCACTTACTGCCGACGGTGTCAAAATACCAAGATCCGTGAATAAGAGTGTGATGTATGAGGGTGGAGTGTAGTCCACCAAAGGATGAATCTTTCTGAGATCACAACTCTTCCTAACCTCTGAAGTATACTGAAAGAAAAAATAAATACTAGTACCGAATTCAGCGCAATTGTATTGGGTTGTCCAAAAAAAAAACCGGAATTTTGTTTTCGGAGGATAACTTTTTTAATTAAAGTACCGATTTGATTGATTTTGGTCTTGTTTTAAATGGAATTGAACAAGACCAAACGTCAACTCATAAAACAAAATGGCAGACACCCCGAAACTTTGCCCAGCTTGAAAACTTGCTGGAAGAGAAAATATATGTTTTTCAAGAAGAAGGTTCATTTGAGTCAAGTTAGGTTAGATTGTTTGGAAAAAGTAGTGTCCTTTTTTATGCAGTCTTCAAACACACACGGACGATGCCTTGCTACCAAATCTGATCGATGTTGCAAAATATATTTTTTCTAAGAAGGTTCATTTAAGCCGAGTTAGGTTAGATTGTTTAGAAAAAGTAGTATCCTTCCTTATGCGCTATTTGTTCCGCACTATTTTGTCGCTCACTATTTTGCCTAGCTCTGTTCAATAACAAAGCCTATTTTTTCCTGACGTTATTTCCATATATGATCGTCAGAGAAGTAGTAATTTGGGAATTAATCAACGACGAATAGTCTTCAAGAAATTGATAAGAAGGGTATTCATTCGAATCAAGTTATTGTTTGAATACTAGCAAGAACTTTTGTGAAACAAAATTTGAGGGTCGAAGATTGCGCTGATTTCAGCTATACAACTTGGTAACCACGCATTTCCTCACCACTGGAATCGGATTTTTGTTTACTCGTTACCATGACGATCGTTGCCATGGCAATAGTTTTTCCATAACTGATTTCAGCCAAACTAAACCCTATACAACTTGGCAACCACGCATTTCCTCACCACGGGAATCAGGTTTTTGTTTACTCCTTATCATGACGATCGTTGCCATGGCAACAGTTTTTCCATAACTGATTTCAGCTATACTAAACCCGATACAACTTGGCAACCATGCATTTCCTCACCACGGGATTTTGTTTTCTGTTTACCTGTTACCATGACAACGGTTGCCATAGCAACAAATTTTCCATAACTGATTTCAGCTAAACGAAACTTGAACCAAATTGTCTATATTCGTTGTAGATTTCTTCGTAATCTTATTATCGATCATCCGTCAACCATTTTCACGTTGTCTGTGTTTGGTGTATTGTGCATATTAGACCAGGGTCGATAATTTTTGAAACCGAAAAAAATTAAAGCAGAATGAAACCAATTTGAAAGAGAAGATGTTGCGAGCTGGTGGTGGTGCAACAGGTTCTGAGGAATTGTTCCACTAGGTTTCTGATGAATATCGCAAACGAATGGTTACTTCGGTGCGGAAAGGAAATAATGGGCTGCAAACTCTTTCACAAGACATATATTGACACATCGTGATATTGACAACAACTATGTTATATTTTATACTACTGTCACTCTCTCGCTGTCAGAATGATTATCATCAGTTATGTTCCTGATACAGAGCGTTCTGTCCACTGCACAACTCAAAGTGGTGTTACACCACCACCAGCTCGCAACAAAGAGAATATAACAAAAATGAAAGGAAAAATAAATTACGGTGGATCCGAGGTTGGAAAAAAGTTGAATGGCAAAGTTGTAGGTAATAAAAAGATCTATAACACTTGTGAATAAACTTTTTTCACATAAACTCGAAATTTGTGTTGAGAATTCAAATAACCAAGTTTTGCTTTTTTGCGGTATCCGCTAGACAGACACGAACGCTACCTGAGTGAACATGACTTTCGCGCGTATTTATTCAACATTTCGGTCCACTTTCAGCATTTTGGTTTTTCCATAGTTGAAATCATGCCAGTCGGGCAACCAGCCATCCACATTTCATGAGAATTTGTTTTGGAGTATTTCTTTCCTGCTCAGGTAGCGTTCGTGTCCGTCTCTTGGGTACTAAATGCTGGGATGTGTTTACGTTGGGTCAGGTTCGCACTAGATAACGGTGATGAATGCTATCTGGGGCAGCCCTGTACTGATGAGCGGCGAAAGCTCGAAAACGGTTTGAAGGTAGTCACGCATTCCTGAACCACTTGGGCGCAGCTCGGCGTTTCGGAAGAAAACACTTGCGATTTTGATAGTCTACACTAATTATTGCATAGATTTCGGAAGGATATAATTCAATGTTCTGCGTGGCATATAGCCAGGAAAGTAGTTGTTTTTCTCTCGTTATCTACCAATTTCGTTCATTTGAGCTTTGCGTATTTATTTATACTCAATATTTCTTATTATAAGTATTCGTGAAATAACTCAATTCCAACCAATATCCGATATCAAAAAACTCGAATGTCACTTTTTCTAGTTTCTATTCTAGTTTCTATACGTTTTTGATGTCTTGTTTGTTTGATGGTTAGTTTAGTCATACTTCCTTATTGTACCATTAAGAATTTTTTTCTACAAACGCTTAACAAAGAAGCCTTTGACGCTTTCAAATTCCAGCACAAAGTTGACGTTTTCCCAGAAATGTCATTCTTTGACAGCATTTGCGCTCGTGAGCGGAAGTATTGAAAAAACGCTCGCATATCTCTGTAACCTATACTTATCTATTCTTGAAAACCCCCAATTCTTTCATGATGGAAAATAGTGGAAGTGAATCATCAAACACACCTCCTTCCTGATGATATAGCAGAAAGCGCAAGAGTTTGAATCTTTTACCGGAGAAATAAAGGAAGAAATATGAATTACAATATGATAAATTCATAAATTGGTGCCAATCCGAGATGGTGAATATGAATTCAGAAAACGTTTTACTGGCTTATTTTGGTAAAAAATCAAAGACTTTGAAGTCATCGACTCATTGGTCTATATTATATTCGATGGTATACGTATACATGCTTGAATGTTAAAGATAATATCGGAATCAATAAGTATCTGAAACTTATCGCATTTTTCAAGGAACAATCTATTGGATATAAAGCGAGAAAAATCCAAAACATTCACCGCTGAAGATATATGCCAACAAATTTCTACAAGAAGCTCCCGATGAAGCATATTTATTGAAAACGATGAATTATACTTTATATTTGAACTCTTTGTTGTCATCAGAAAGACAGTGTATCTTTATTTTATTGCATCAATGAGTAATGTTCAATTTGATTGCAGAGTTTATCGTACTATGGCTCAGAGGTCTGAAGCTCAGGTTGCCACGCTGGTGGTCCAGTTTCAATTCTCGGTTTGGCCCGACATTTTTTTTCTGGCTTGTCAGTTATTTAAAATTTTCTTTTTTTGTTTACTTTGGACATATGGGATAATATGTATGAGAACTTTTTCAATTATTCCAATCGCTCATACTTTCAGGGTAGTTATTTCCAAAAGCTGCGTTAGTAGAAAAAATCTTGTGTGTATTTCGAGCACAAAGTGTCATTGCCGCTCTCCAAAGATTACCGCGCTCCGCTCCGCATCGCGCGGTAACTTTCTTTGTCGAGCGGCAATCTATCACTTTGCGCTCTAAATACACAAATAGCTATTATCGAATTCTCTAGAAATGAATCAGTGGAAATCGTTCAATTATATGACGTAATACTACTGTGTTGTAAGAATGGAATAGAATTCATAAATAATCGAGAACAATCTTACAAGGCAACCTGTTTCACAAAATACCTATCTAATAAGTTTTACAGAAGACAATATTCACCACTTGCATATCGACATAACCTACTATCTAAATCGATCGAACTGGATCCCACGGAGCATGCTTAGGACCTTGTTACTACTGTATTTTATGATATAAATGTTAGATTCTCCATCAGTTGAAGGCAGCAAATGAAGAAAAAGATGATGAATATATTCGGCGATTGTTACGACACCTTGTTGCCTAAATAATAATAATTAATAAGCTTTATTGGATACCCAAAAGGCTACCGACCGAGGTCCTTCAGCCTTTTTTTTTTTAGGTGGAAATTTTTTTATAAACCCCGGTACTGGTTCTCCCTTTCCCGGGGAGTGTGGGATTCTTGTTCCTTTGATTTCATTATTTCTTTCAGCATGTTACAGCCCCTTCTCCAGACTTCCCTGTCAGCAATCATCAGTGTTATCAGGTTTTCAGCAGTTATTTCTTGCCCTGTGAATCTCTCAAGACGACTCCTTTCTCGCACCCATCTTTGACAGGCGAACAGTGTGCTCAGGATCATCCCTTTTCCGGCAGTAGATACATATGTCGTCATCTGACTTCCCTATCCTTAGAGTATAGGATCGAAAAGACCCATGTCCAGTCAGGGCCTGGGTGCAGTAATAGTCTAGCGTCTTGAAGGCGCATCTATTCCAAGCCTCAATATCCGGAATCAGCTTTTTTGTCCATTGTGCCGTTCTTTCATGATCTCTCCATCTCTCCTGCCATTCGTTTATCACCAGTCTTCTCTCTCTATCCTTGTCTTCTCTATTAACCGATGGTAACTCTGCTAGCCTCACTAGTAATTTCATTAACAAATCTATAGGCGGAATACCGCATATAACTTGTAGGGCATCACCGGAGACGGTCCTATATGCGGACGCAGTCCGTAGCAACATTTTCCTTTGCGCCGACATAAGCATACCGCAATATTTCTTAACTCGCACAATTCTTTCACCCCACACCGGTGCGGCATATAAGAGCACGGATTGAACCACTCCGTACAGCACTCTCCTCTTGCAGAAGGATGGACCTCGCACATTAGGTAGAATTTTGCCTAAAGCAGCTATTTGTCTATCCGCCTTCTCACAACTTCTCTTAGTGTGTTCATTGAAGGATAATCTAACCACACTCCCAGATACTTCACATACTTCTTGGGTACTATATTTTCTCCGTTCAGCATGAAGGTCACGTCTTCCTTATTCCTTGCACCTCTAACTATGAGTGCTTCGGTCTTCGTCGGAGTAATCTCCAGGCCTATCTCCTCCATGCATGTAGCAATACGTTCTAATGCTAGGTTTGTATTATCCATAAGAGCCTCCTTGCTTCTGGCAGTGTTGAAGGCATTTTTCACATCAACGCAGACCACTGCGCCCCATTTCACGTGTCGATCGTTTGCCTCTCCTATCACGCGCTGTATGGCCTGTACGCAGGACCTTCCCGCTATGAATCCATATTGTCTATCAGAGATCCCTCTGTTCTCCTCCAGCTCTATCTCTATCCTATTTTTCAACACGTATTCGTATACTTTCGCTATTCCGTCCAGTAAGCATATGGGTCTCATTTTTTTCCTTCAGCCTATGTTACACACAGTGATTATACATTGAGTTTAAATTCATCATTATTGTATGTACATGATATATGGAATTTTGCTAGTGTAAAAAAAAAAGTAGAAAAGTTCATTGTGAGGCAAGAATTTTGAAAGAATTTCAGTCTTATGAATTGATCAAGCATTCCAATAGTGTGTTTTCCGGAAACTTCCGTCTTGGGTTCACTGTTGGATCTCTCTGTAAACACTGGAATTGGCTAATTGTTACCTAATAATTTCGCGAATGACATTTTTTCTATCAATTTCATGAGCGAAATTAAAAGAGCAATCAGGAGTTTGTCAATCGATGAATATTTCCAGGAAGAATAGTATCACGAATTCTATTCGTATGACAATTTTATGATTGGGAAAATAAACGAGAGCCTCGCGAGTGTTGTGCACACTGCATCTCATTCTGGCTTCCAACATAATTGACGTTTCATATGTCAAAGGTTTTATCGCTGAAAAACGAGGTTGGTTAGTCACGTGTGGGTCTTTCGGCTCTTGTATTGGTAGTGCAAGTCCGGTATTTTTTAGTAAACAAAAAATACCGCTGTAATACACATGAAACCGTGAAAATGGTCGATCGTGATTGGTTCTCGAGAATAAGAGGGAAATAGTCAGTTAACCACCATAAACATACCTTGTATTCTTCAGGCAAGTCTTGTTGGTCCAAAGGAAACAATCTGGAGAACTTGAAACTTTCTGTCAAAACATAGAATGGTTTGTTCATTTCTTTCGCACAAACTGCCATTGTATTGGTCCCAACCTAAAATTGTAATATGCTACCTCATTTTTTGACAAACTTTTTCAAAGCCTTCACAATAATAATTTTTCCGATATTGTCATCTAACTGGGAAAACACTTCAATAATGATGAAAAGTCGATATTTAACATACCTTGTTAACGATTCCGCCACTTTCTACTACTCCTTCAGTCCCAACCATGATGAAATCAACTTGTTCCATTATGTACCCTATAGCGGAATCCAAAATAAGAGTGCATGGTATACCTTCAGCTTCCAGGTCTTTACACATTCTCGTTCTGAAAATGTAAAAAAAAAAAAATTGGCTTGCTACTGCTAGGCAATTCAACCACATGTCTAAATATGCGCTTATTGGTTTCTCTGCGAGGAAGAGCGCATGCCTCCATAATGTTCACATGATTCATTGTAACAAATGAGGTTTGGGACTGCTTGGTAAAATATAGGTTCTCGTCATTTTCATTCTCCACCAGTTGGCATTACTAGAGTTTGAGATCTATGTCAATGTCAAAAGCCACATTATGAACATATGATTGAAGGAGGAATTGAAAAAAGCAAAGGAAGAATTGGAATACGACCAAAGAAGGAATATCTCAGCTTGCGAGAAATCAAACGGAGATTCATACCACCAGGTGCACCCTTCATGGGAGGGACATGGGAAAGGCTGATCAGGAGTGTCAAGAAAACATTCAACACAATCTTGAATGGACAGAAACTGAAAGAAGGAACTCTGACAACTTTTTTAGCGGAAGTAGAAAGCATTTTGAACTGCAGACCATTGACGTACGTTTCGACTGACCCTGCTGACATGGAAGCGCTGACTCCAAACCACTTTTCACTGGGTACTTACGTCAAATGGGGAGAAGCCCCTAACAGATTTTGGAGGAGAACGATGCCTAAGGAAGGAATGGCATAAGACACAACAATTAGCGAATTCATTTTGGAATAGGTGGACGAAAGAGTATATGCCAACCCTATCGAAGAGAACGAAGTGGACAAATGATTCACAACCGCTGAGAAAAAACGACGTTGTGATAATAATAGAAGAAAACATGCCAAGCAATTCATGGAAAATGGGATAGTAGGATATTTTTCGGGGACCTGATAACAGGATACGAGTAGCAGATATCCGAACCAGAACTGGAACTTTCCGGAGACCTGTTGCAAAGTTGTGTCGGTTGGATATCAATCCTGACACACCTGAGAATGTTGAAGATTATCGTTAATTTTATATTGTAAATGTAAGATTTGACCCTGTATAAGGGACTTTTGGTTGTTGTCAATTTTGACTTGAAAAGGAGAAACGTCTATTCGCGAGATCCACGAAGTGGGCGACATCTAGGTTACATAATACGAACTTCAAACTTGGGGAAAACAAACTGTTGTCTATGGATAAAGTGCATAGACTACATTGCATTCAGCTTGCTGTAGCTGTAGTCAAACTTGTCAATGACATATAAAAGAACAGCTACATGTTTACAATACCCAGATTGTCCTGCTTTCTGCTTTGCATAAACAAATACAAATCCATTGTTCTACAGGAGTTCCTCTGGACCCCAACTTCAATTTTACTTCATGTGGGGAAGATTTCATCGCCGAAGTTTGTAGATAAAGTGCAAAAATGTGCCTTTTGTTGAAGTCTTCTGCCTCACACAAAATCACATGATTAGCACGGAGAATTGCTTCCCTTTCCACTATCAGCGTTTTCGATCGACTATTGACAATTAATGTCAAGAAATTCAAAAACTTATCACTCTCATCAGTGCACAAGCTAATGGCACTAATGGGATTGAGTGAGGATTGAGTTTGTTTTCCCCCAGTTTTGACGTGGCTTTGACATGGAACGACGAAAACCGAGCGCCACCTGTTAACATTGATTCCCGCGAATACAGTCCAAGACTATTTTATGTTATTATTCGACCAGACAATAACACATGGTATACAGTATAAACTGTTCCCGTTGTGTTCGTTAATTAATTTGTTGATTGTGATTATTATCAGTGATATTCTTTCAACCTGAACAAACAGAAATATTTCACTAGAACTGAACTAAATCATATGCGTTCTTCCGAAAAACTTCAATCCGAGAGAATACATGTTAACTGATTCAATTCAGTTCAAGTGAAATATTTCAGTTAGGTCAGAATGAAATAATATTACTATAGATAATGTGAATTTTTTATATTTATGCATTCTTGTTCTGATTTTACTTTCGTTTTTAGTTTCAGATCAGAGGGAAATTTTCCCATTATTTTAATCAGATACGTTATCAAAAAATTTCGCGTAATTTCATATTCGAATCGATCTTACCCAACAATCGTTATATCATTGAGATGAAATAGTTGGCATTTCATAAAATAATCGTCATCGTGTACATTTCAATATGATACTTACCTATATCATCATTCTTATCAATTTCTTACCCAATGTTATCTGGAGCAGATATAGTGACAAAAACTTCGAATCTCTTATTTTGCTTGTGGGCTTTTCTCAATGTCTGTAAAACAACCCTGGACCTGGAATGCGTCAAAATTCGCTGAAACAGATGAAAAATCAGCCAAAAACAATCCAGACTCCGTTTGTTGTATTCACCGATCCATCTCCTATAAAATTGGAAGCCAATTTCACTATTTTCCCTCTTGAATCATCCAACTTCTTGATGAACAAGTGTCCTCTGTCCATCATTATTTTTTTGCACTCATCAAAATCCTAAAATCCCACGAACAAATAGGTAAAAATGGCTTCAAGTAACTTGCAGGTGAACATTTCTTTCATTAATAGAGAATACTCGCACCCAATCTGATTTACTACCATAAAATGAAAGTTCGAATTACTTTGTATGTACAGGCTGTTGAGGTTGGAAATAAAAATGAATTACAAGAAAACTACTGATTTCTCAAAATTTTAAGGGTTTTATCTCCTGCATCTCATAAAGAACAAAGAATTTGATTTGACAAAAAAACTTTGTTCATTCTTTGTTGGTTTGGTCAAGCGAGTGTTGGAATATTCCAGTAAAAATTGAACAACATTATGTGAAGAAGACTGTTTGTGGTAGTGATCTAGACTGAATAATCAAATTAGTGCTTTTAAGTGATGACAATTTTTTTTTCTGTAATGTTTTCAAACATAATCATAACAAATATGTGGAGGTTTTACCCTTGTGTCTAAAGATGCCAAAGTGATGAATCTTAAAAATAATTCACAGCCAGAGTTGATGGCAGCAACTGTGTAGTTTGAATTTTTCATTTGAGAAATGGCGTCTTTCAAGTTTGCCTCCAACTCCTGAACTGTTTCAGCTGAAAATAAAAGGCAATAATGAAAATTGGTACGTCAATAATTATATGGTACACTAAGTGGAATATCATCTGGCATTGAACAATAAGAAGGGTAATGATGGACAATTTAATATATAAAATTCTCCTGTCCCGGTCACGGTGTTAGTGGTGTGTCATTCAGTACTGCCGAAAAACAATTCGGCTTCGCGCTCCACATGCGCTATTCTGGTGGTACTATCCAGTATATCTCTGAACTTTCGGTTCCGAGCAACAGCGTATAAATTGGTTTATATATGTCAGAAGTACATTATTTCTGAACATACCACCCAACAAAATTGAATTTTTTTTTAAGCTGAGAAAAAAATGAGAAATTTGAGAATTTGAATTTATATATTATTATTATACTTAAATACTAATCTTATATAATATTATCCTAAATTGGATGAAAAAAAAAAGAAACTGAATTTAGCAGTTTGGCAAAGGACAGGCCTTGGTTACTGGTCGTAAAAAATCCCTTTGCGGTACGAACCGTAACGACGCGAGTTATATTATCGGCACCGGTGTGGAGTTGAGAAACTCGACCACGGGGCCATTTGAGAGATGAGAACTCGTCCTTCAAAAGAACAATCGTTCCTAATTCGATGAGCGTCGAGGGTTTGGTTCATTGCTTCTCTGTATCAAAGGGTTGAGATACTCCTTGTGTCAGAGGCTCCAAGAGTCTTGTTGGAGTCGCTGGATAAGTTGCCAGCGAGATAAGCGCCATAGTGTGAGATTTCCTAGAGGCGGGTCTGGTACTGAGTTTAACGGCTCCAGGGACAGAAAATGACCCGGAGTTAGCACTGAATCGTCGTTAGGGTCTGAACTCAAAGCACACAAGAGCCGTGAGTTCAAAATTGCTTCTATTTGTACAATGGTAGTATTCAATTCTTCATAGGTGAGAGTTTGGTCACCAACAACACGAAGTAAATGGGTCTTACTGACCTCACCCCAGTCTCCCAAAGACCTCCAAAGTTCGGACAAGTGGGAAAGATGAAGTGAAAACGGATACCCTGCTGATCTACAACTTGTAAAATGAATTTTTCGAGTTCACGAGAAGCCCCAATCAGGTTTGTGTCATTGTCACTGAGCAAATCTGTCACACGACCTCGCCGAGCTACAAGTCGACGAAGAGCTACAAGAAACGTGTCGGTTGACAAATCTGAAGTGAGTTCGAAGTGGAGAGCTTTAGTTGCCATGCAACAAAAAACACATAATATGTACGATTGCAACACCTTAGCTCCGCGAATTCAAGAGGTTATAATTCTGAAGGGCCCAAAGAAATCCATTCCTACTTTAGAAAATGGTTTGATGGAGTCTGAAATATCTCAGACATTTTGATGGTACCCGCCGAATTGTCCTTTTTGGAGCAAGTATCCAATATCGTTGAGCAATGAGGAAGTGATGTGTCTGACGTCCAGGATGAAGAAACTTAGAATGACTATCAGAAATGATTAACTCTGTGAATCTGTGATCGCTAGGTAAGAGTGCGGGATGCTTCTCATCAAATGACAAAATGGGAATATGTTAATCGACCCCCCACTCTCAAAATTCCCTTTTCATCAATAAATGGATTCAGTTTGCGTAGGAATTTTGGGAGTCGTTTTCGATGTTTGAGTTGAGATATTTTCACGAGAATTCTGAGAGCTTCTTCCTTTTCGAACATGAAAATAGTACCTGAGTTTTCAGGACATGATGAATTTTAGCGCGCGAATTTTCAGGAAAATAAACCTGCGGAGATAACAAACTATACGTTGGATTTTTGAGAGAGATGAGTAACGAGTTAAGAGGGACATAATAGAATATTCCTCAACAGTTACCGTCAGAATACTTTGACGTATTTCTTCATCGGGAATATTGGACAGATCACTATCACTGGAGCTGCTAGGCCATAAAGTGCATGGTAGTCGAAGCCAATGCGACCCCGCCCACCAATGGGAATTATTGACAAGATTACAGGAAATAATCCCTCGGGAGGCTGGATCAGCGGGATTGTCCTGCGAAGAAACGTGACACCATGCAGAGGGGGGAACCATTTCCTGAATTTGGGAGACACGTTTCGATACAAAAGTGGTATATTTGTGAGGGGAACTACGCAACCACTTGAGAACTACCATGGAGTCAGTGAAAGCTGATATTCTGAAAACTTCTAACCCATTTTGATATGTCTCTTGAATGAAAGTTAGGAGACCCGACAAGAGGAGAGCTCCACAAAGCTCGAGGCGTGGAATAGAGATGGTTTTCAGCGGTGCTACTCGGGATTTTGCATATAAAAGATGAGTCTTCTGTGTTCTTGCGTTCGTAAGTAAACTACAGCAGCGTAACCCTTTTCTGGGGCATCGCAGAAGCCACATATTTCAATTGATTCATGAGTTGGGGAAATTACCTGTTGTGGTATCTGGATAGTTAAGACGAGAGGTAATTCTTTCTTGAAACAGTTCCATTGAGCAATTATAGCATCGGGGGGAGGGCTATCCCAGTCGATGCCAGCAGTCCACATGGTTTTGATATGCAGAGTTATCGGTGTGAGGAATCCTAAAGGATGATACACTCTAGCCAATTCGGAAAGTATATTTCGTTTCGAACATGGTCTACCTATAGGTTTAACTTGGTAAGAGAAAAAATCATGCCTAACATTCCACTGCAATGCCAAAATTTTGAGAGTAGGAACATTTTCGAGATCTAACTAGAGAGAATCAAGCTTTATCATTTCTGAAGGAAGGTGAGATACCAAATGGGGTTCATTACGCGCCCATTTACGGAGTTCAAAACCAGCCTTTTTGAGTACTAGACTTAAATCTGTCTGTAGTTGTGTGGCTTCGGCAATAGAAGAACATCCGGTTATTCGATCCGATTTACGGACGTTTGGGCATTGAATGCTATACCTGTCAGCAAGTTCTTGTACGGTTCGAATATGGAGAGCTATTGACACCAAAAGTCACCGTGTTTAAGCGGAAATCTTCAATTGGGTCATTACGAGAAAGTCTCCAGAGGATTCTCTGGAAATGTCTGTGTGATTCTGTGACCAGAATTTGATAATACATTTTCTTTATGTCAGCAGTAAAGCAAACTGAATGAGGGCGAAATCTGGACAACAGAAAACAATAATATCTGGTTGAAGCTTGGGACCAACTAGGAGTGTGTCGTTGAGAGACACGTTTGAGCAGCGTGAGGAAGCGTCAAAAACCACGCGCAGCTTGGTAGTAGAGCTGTCAGGTTTCAATACACAATGATGCGGTATATAATAAGACGAAGGATTCGGAGAAATATCAGAGAGTGGTTCCATAAACTTAGAGTCAAGATAATATTCCATGAAATCAGAATATTGACTGTAAAGGTTCTGGTCTTTCAAAAGCCTTCTTTCGAGAGAGAGAAAGCGCCTGAGGGCAATATCTCTAGAATCAGGAAATATTGGCAAATCATCCTTGAATGGCAATGAAACGATAAATCGTCCTGAGTACTACGATCTACAAATGTTTGGTACAACCTCTCTGAGCGGATTTCATCGGGGGTGAACGCAGGGGCTGAAGGGACCTGTTGCAAATCCCAGAATCTTTTGAGATAATCATCCAAGTGAGAGTCAACGGATATCGTGAAGGAGCAGGTTGGAGGAGATGAGTTGACCTTACCCATTATAATTCACCCAAAAGATGTATCCAAGGCAATAGGATTTTCCGATGGATTATCTGAGTCATGTAGATGAGAAGAACCTTTCAAACCATGTGCAAAAATGTCAGCTCCTAGAAGGATATCAATTGGTTGTGACACATTGAAGGTGGGATCAGCCAGATCTAACTTAGAAAATACAGAGAAGGGTCCTTTAGAGAGAGAAACTGCCCGAAGATTGGAACATATTTGAGGAAGAACCACCAAATCTAGAGTAAATTTGGTTTCAGATTTAATTCTTGGTTTGAGGGTACAAGTTACTTTTTGTGTTGCATGAGTGCTGATTTTCCCAACACCCCGTACATTGATAGAGAGTCGACGACGAGAGAGACCAAGTTTATAGCAACATTTGGTTGAGATGAAGTGAATTTGACTACAGCTATCAAGAAGAATCCTGACAGGTTGGTAAAAGCATTGGCTGTCAAGAACCTCTACAACAGTAGTAGAGAGAAGAAGAAGGAATATCGCTGGCCACGTTAATAGCTGAAGAATTGGTATTCGGACGATAAATATTTTCGAGAGTAAGCTGTGTTTCCCGAGAGCTGGTGGGAGCTAAGTTGGGGATATAATTTTGTATGTGGAAAGGATTATTCGGCATAATATGTAGACAACTATGATTTTTTTTGGGAGACGTGCACAGTCTGCAAATACCTTTCGAGGTGCCATTGAGAGAGGTATGCTTTGAGCCTAAGCAATTAGCGCTCCATTTGTTACTCTTCACCAGATTGTACCGTTCCTCGGGAGTTTTAAAGAGAAAACTTGGACAATTATAAATTGAAAGCTCCCTTTGGCAAACCTGACAGATTAGTTTATGATCAGAGTTGGTAAAGAATGTTGAAGTAGATTTGAATTTGGAAGATTGAGGTTTGTTTATTGTGGAATTATTTTTTATCGTATCAATTGTTCCAGCAGATGATTTTGAATAACTCACAGTATCCAGAGCTGAGCACTGCCTATTCAAAAACATTACCAAAGTATTGTGGAATTCCTCACCAGGCAAGTCAGAATGTTCAAGTTCAAACCGAGTCGCCGTCGCGGAATCTAGGCGATCAAACAGCAAATTGATTGGTTAGTGGTAAACGGTGTGTAGTATACATAGGTATACTGTCTGTAGGTTAATCGAGGAGGTGGTATATTCATTTTACTTGGTTTTCTGGGATTTTCTCTCCTCATTTCTATGAAATAAAAAATTTCATATTATTTCAATATATTTGTAGTGGACAAATCAGATGATTTGCCCCAAAATGTCAGTGCATTTAACAATTTTTTCTATCTATATCAACTGAAAAGGAAGCAAAGCTATTGTCTCCTTTCAGAAG